GCGAGTCAGTGGGGATTCGGGGTGGCCGCACGGTTTTGGGACCTGGGTCGTTCTCCGGTGATGCCTCGGGCGATTGGGGCCTTCAGTGCCCCCAAACCGCGTTGGGACGGACCGCGCGGTTAGGCCTCTCGGGATCTCGAGGTTGTCGCGCGGTCTGTCACCGCCCCGTTTCGGGACCCTCAAAGACTATCGGGCGACGAAATCTATGCACGCCCACTGCTCCCCCCCCCTGGCCGGGCCCTTCCTGGGCCCAGGAGCTGGGCCTGGCCACGCCCGGAGGGCGTGGCGTCTGCGCCGCTGCTGGGTCCAGGATGGGCCTGGCCACGGAGCAGCGGACATGTGTAGACCTCGTCGCGCAACATCAGCACAGCTCCTCCAGCTGTGGCCCTGGTCGGAGGAGGCGGCCCGCCGCCCCGAGGCGCCGGAGGTTCGAGCGTGCTGCCGCCTCGTGCCGCCGTCGCCCGGCAGGGCTTGTTGGGTTTTTTTCGAGCAGGACACGATGGGTCCTCGTCGGGTGCTGTCAGACCGCAGCCCCTCCGCGCCATGTGGCGAAGGCCTCGCGGTCTCCCGCCGGCGACGACGACGACGCCGACGCCGACGCTGACGAAGACGACGACGCCGACGCCGGCGCCGACGCCGCCGCCGACGCCGCCGCCGCATCGCGTGTTGAAACCCCTCGACGAACTTTTTCCACTGGGGACCTCTGGGGGCCCTCCCCGGGCCCGGGGGCCGTAACAGAAACTACCCAGGATGAGAAGCCAGCCCCTGGGGAATGGGTTGAAACCGTTGCCTTTGGGAGTCGAGGTGGTGAACAAATCGCGACGTCGGGGGTCTGAGGACGTGTCCCTGGCACGAGGTGTCCCCAGGACTTCCAGGGAGGCCCCTGCGGCCTCCAGAGCGCCCCTCGCGAGGCCTGGGGTGCTCCCAGGGGCCCCAACGTTGCGCGGGCAGCCGGGTGCACCTCTGGCCAGGGACACCTTTGGCGATCCCTGGCCTCGGGAGGGTCCTCCTCCTCCTCCGCCTCCTTCTCCTCCTCCTCCTCCTCCTTCTCTTCCGCCTCCTCCTCCTCCTCCGCCTCCTCTTCCTCCTCCTCCTCTTCGGGTGGGGTGGGCTTCCTGTCGCCGCATACAGCTCTCCACTCTCTGTCTCCTCTTGCCCCCGTCGCCGTCCCGCTCCCCTGCTGTCTCGCGTGACGCTGCAGCACGGCTCGCATCGTCGACGTGTTTCCCATCTGCACTGTGCGGCCAGGTTCTATTTCTCTATCTCTCTGACTTCCAGAATCTCTCTCTCTCTCTCTCTTTCCCTCTCTTTCACTGCGATTATTCTACCGCCTCCTGTGTTAAAAGGTGGCGATCGGCACTGTCCCAGGGACCCCCCCCTGTATCTTCGCTCGTCCATTGCGGACTGAAAACGCGTCGTTGTGGAAATCGCGCGCGAAACAGTCATATCTGGCGGCGTGACGTGGGGCCAGAAACTTGAACGTCACGCAATCTCGAGCAAGATCGCCACTGTCTGGCGGTAAGTAGAGCGACCTGATTTCTGTTGGTCAAGAAGCCCCGAACGAGATCGCCACCCTCCAGTCGGATGGCAGAGCTGCAAGACAGATGATCGACGGTCGCGTGCTTCGCCTGACTGAGCATCGGGCTTGCCGCCGCCCTCTGGCCCCAGAGGGCCAGACGCAGCGGCGCGGTCTTCGCGGCGCTGACCGGAGCGCCTATCTGCGCCCAGCTTTGCAGATGCAACGTCGAGCCAGGTAGGCGCGAGGGCGACTGGGCGATCATCGAAGGGAGCGCGTGCGCGGCGCTATTGTGCCGCGAGGTCTTGCGTCTCGCGCCTTGCTGCAGTTGCGCTTCAACCAGCGCGCGTGCGAAGGCGAGGCGTGCCCTCGCCAGGGCGTTCCCTTCCTCTCCCTCTCCTCCTCCTCCTCCTCCTCCTCCTCCTCCTCCTCCTCCTCCTCCTCCTCGCGCGGCTGCATCTTTCGAGCCAGACCAGGGTGATTCTGGTTGCAGCCTAGTACATCTCCGCTTCTTTGCATCCCCCGCGGCGGGAAAAGAACCACATTTTGTTGAGAGAACGTTCTCCTAAGCAGTGGCGCAACATCGCCCGCGTGCCGAGTCCGTGACAGTTGTTTGTGCCCTTGCAGTCCACAGGGGGGACAGGATTTGTCCGCCGGAGGCGTTGTAGGCAGCTGACGGCGAGTGGTTTGTGGCTGGTGCTTCGCGCGCTCCCTGTCCTTCCTTTTCCCGTCTTGGAGCAAATAAGTCATACTCAAAGGGCGTAGCATGCACCAGAAATTCCCGCGTTGGCCTCACATCCGACATTGCACATGGGGCCCGCAGCTTCATGGGAGGCAAGCCACGTCCTCCGTTTTCTCTGCGGTAAGCATTTCTTATTCCAGGAGTTTGTAGGCACAAGCGTCTCGTCAACGTCGCCTGTCGTCAGCGCCCGACCCTCGCTTGCAGGTGATTTCCGTGGTCTCCGGCAAGGTGACATCTTCCAGGAGCCTCTTCCTGGCATTCAGCTTTACGTGCGCAGCTGACCATTACCTGCCGGCAGCCCGTGGCTCACAACTGGGTTCTGTCGAGTCCTGGGCCTGATCGAGCTCACCCAGCAGAGATCGCACGTGCGCCCGCTCACGTTTGGGCACCCAGACCTCCGACGTTTTGACCTGTCCGCAACTTCCCAGGGAGGCTCAGACCACTTCACTGGGACCAGAACTTCATCCCGACTCGTTCTTGGGCGGTCCTGGGGCCCTGTGAGGTCCCTGGAACCCTTCGGTCGTCATCTTTCGCAGCAAGGCGACGTCTGGCCAGCTGGCTCACTTTCGATCGTTTGGTTGGTGCCGTGGCAGGGCCGCCTATGACCCGATCCACTGCTATTCTTACGTCGGGCCTGGCCCTCTACAGGAGGAGTCTTCAAAACTAGTAAAAAGATGCTCGGGGGACGATGTTTGGAGCATTTTCAGATCATTTTGGAGTATTCTGGGGATCTTTTTCGTTTTTCGCCTACAATCCCCCCTGTAGGGGGACGTGCCCGACCTGATGCTGCTCGATTTGTTGGCTGGGGCTGCGATTCCGCCTCTGCTCGATCCGGCTCGATCCGCCCGCACCGGCTGGGGCTGGCCAGAGCCGGGTGCGGCGACCCGATTTTGGGTCCGGTTCGATCGGGGACGACCCGCTGGCGATCCGCTCCGCTTCCGACCCGATTCGATCTCGCGGTTCTCCGAGGCGGGAATTTATCCATACCCACCGCCTGGAGGGTCAGTTTTCGGAGCGTCGGCAGGTGGTGGATATGGACATATTCGGGCCCCCAGGGGCCGAAATATATCCATGTCCACCGCCCGCTGGGGCACCAGGACGTCGGTTCCCAGGCGGTGGATATGGACAAATCCCCGCCTCGCAGGTTCGGTCTGGCTCAGACCTGCCGTGGCGCATCGGGTCGGTACCGTTTATAACCGAATCCCCATCCCCATCCCCATCCCCTCCGAGACCCCCACCAGATTATCCCCCCCCGAGTTGGGGATACACCCCTCGAAGCCCGAAGGGAACGGCCTGCATCCCCATCCAGGGGGGTAAGTCGGCCAGCGGGGCCCAGGCCACGCCGCTGGAGAGGGGGATCGGTGGAACGATACTCATCGGGTGCACGCGCGGCGCGCCGCCGTGGCCGTCTGGGGCCACGTCCGCCCGAGCCCTCCCGGCACCACGGGGGTGTGCGGCGGCCCCTGGAGCCCGGCGGCGGCGCTCTGGCCTGTCAAGGGTAAGTTTTTGGTTTTTGTTTTGTTCGTTGTCTTTTTCATCCCCTGGCGATTTTTCAGGAGGGGAAAACTCACACAGTCACAATTCATCGTCGATTCCCCAGGAAATATGGGAACATATGGGAAGTGGTGGGGAAGACAAAAAGCCAGAAACTATAGGAAAATATGGGGAATCCTTTTATTTGTGTCCCAGGGCCCCTTCAATAATGGCCGTCACCAGGGGGGGGGGGCTGGGGGGGCGAGGGGGCTGGTAACCTCACGATTTGCGCCAGGGCCGCTTGGGAAGTAGCTACCCCTAGCAATTCCAAACGGCGCCGGCGCGAACCGAGACGGGGGGGGAGGGGTGGAGTCGATACAGCCATGTGTATGTGTTTGTGTGTGCGTGTGTGTGTGTGTGTGTGTGTGTGTGTGTGTGTGCCACCCGCCTCTCGTTTTCACCACACCACCTTCTGCATGGCCATGGCTGGGCTGCTCGCTGTTCCGCCATGGCGCGTTCGACTAAGTTCGTTCGCAATTGGCACCTCCACCTCCCGACCGCGCCTGAGGTTCATCTGCGCCGCCGACAAGTGTGCGTACCACCTCTATTTCTATTTCCCAACCATCCTGTGGTGTTGGGTTCTCGTTTTGAAGAGAGAGTCAGTCCCTGCGTCTCCTTCCTTCCTTCCTTCCTTCCTCCTCCCTCTTCCTATGCTTGCCCCTGCCGTCCGCACGCCAAACAGTTCTGCACACCCTCCCACGTTTCGTGGCCGCACGGGGAGCTCCACCGAAGGCCCCAGTGGCAGTTCGGCACACGACTCACACGTTGCAGAGCCCCTTTCGGTTCGCCGCCCATTCTGTCTCACACCTCACACGTTTCGTGCTCTTCCGATGGCCCCAATGGCAGGGTCCATATGCGATTTCCCGTTCATTTTGGCACCCCTCACACCTTTCGTGACCCCATGTGGCCCCAAACGAGGGTCCACTGAGGGCCCCAGTGGCAGGGTTCACATGCGGTTTCTGCCCATGTGGGCATACCCCTCACACGTTGCGCGCCCCCATAAATAGTTCGTCCGAAGGCCCCAGAGGCACGGTCCACGTGCGGTTCCCCGCCCACACGTCTCGTGGCCCCATAGGGAATTCCACCGAAGGCCCCACTGGCAGCGCCCACATGCGGTTCCCCGTCTATTTCGGCACATTCCTCACACATTTCGTGGCCCCAGGAGGAGCTCCACCGAACGCGATGCCCGCAACGCAGTGCCCACAACGCGGTACTCACAACTGCATATGGTTGGGCCGGTCGTTTTTTTTTTTTTTTTTGTTTTGTTTTTTTTTGTTTTTTGTTTTTTTCCTTTTGTTATTTAAAAATCGTCACATCGCTTGTATTTTTCGTTTTCTTGTATGTTTGTGATCCTTGTGTCAAGCCGTGTTTGTGTGTGTGTGTTTGTGTGTGTGTGTGGGTGGGTGCCGCTTGTGTCTTTTGAGTTGTATTTCAATAGTACAGCATGGGGAACTACATCACAGTTCCTATTGTGGCAGGCCGCAACAATATTTCCTTTTGTGGCAGATTGCGTTTGAATTCGTTTTGCGGTGGATTGCTGGTGCATGACCTTCTTTTGCCGAATTCACAAGGATTCCCTTTGTCGGAGACTGCAACAAGATCCCCTCTGCCGGATATTCTACAGGATTCCTTGTGTGGCGGCTTGTACTAAGTTTTTTTTTGGGGTGGAGGGTTATAGTTGGATCCCCGTTGACGGCATTGCACATGGATTCGCGATGGTCGACAGTTGGATCCTTTTCGTGGTGGCCTACACATCGATTTCGTTTTGTGGCGGCCTCGCAAATCGATTCATTTTGTGGTGGCCCGCATACAACATCTTTTTAATGGTGGCATTACATATTGCTTCACTGTTGGGCGGATTTCAAATCGATTTCATTTTGTGGCGGGTTGCAACGTGATGCCCTTTCTGGTGGCCTAGACATCGACTTTCATGTGCCGGGCTTACAACTATGCTTACACACATATATATATGTATGTATGTGTGTGTATATATATACACATTTTTTGTGCTGGCCCACATGCTATTTTTTCCCAACCATCCTGTGGTGTTGGGTCCTCGTTTTGAAGAGACGGTGCCCCGCGTCTCCTTCCTCTCCTCCTCCGCCTCCTCTCCCCTCCTATCATCCTCATCGTCATCATCATCATCATCGTCATCATCATGGCACACCCCTCACACGTTTCGTGGCCCCATAGGGAGCTCCACCTAAGGTCCACGTGGCGCAGCTCGCATGGCGCCACCGTCCCTTTTTGGCACACCCCTCACACGTTTCGTGGCCCCATAGGGAGCTCCACCTAAGGTCCAAGTGGCGCAGCTCGCATGGCGCCACCGCCCCATTTTGGCACACCCCTCACACGTTTCGCGGCCCCTCAGGGAGCTCCACCTGAGGTCCAAGTGGCGCAGCTCGCATGGCGCCACCGCCCCATTTTGGCACACCCCTCACACGTTTCGTGGCCCCTCAGGGAGCTCATTTTGGCACACCCCTCACACGCTTCGTGGCCCCATAGGGAGCTCCACATAAGGTCCACGTGGTGCAGCTCGCATGGCGCCACCGTCCCTTTTTGGCACACCCCTCACACGTTTCGTGGCCCCATAGGGAACTCCATTTATGGTCCAAGTGGCGCAGCTCGCATGGCGCCACCGCCCCATTTTGGCACACCCCTCACACGTTTCGTGGCCCCATAGGGAGCTCCATTTACGGTCCAAGTGGCGCAGCTCGCATGGCGCCACCGCCCCATTTTGGCACACCCCTCACACGTTTCGTGGCCCCTCAGGGAGCTCCACCTAGGTCCAAGTGGCGCAGCTCGCATGGCGCCACCGCCCCATTTTGGCACACCCCTCACACGTTTCGTGGCCCCTCAGGGAGCTCCACCTGAGGTCCAAGTGGCGCAGCTCGCATGGCGCCACCGCCCCATTTTGGCACACCCCTCACACGTTTCGTGGCCCCTCAGGGAGCTCATTTTGGCACACCCCTCACACGCTTCGTGGCCCCATAGGGAGCTCCACCTAAGGTCCACGTGGCGCAGCTCGCATGGCGCCACCGTCCCTTTTTGGCACACCCCTCACACGTTTCGTGGCCCCATAGGGAGCTCCATTTACGGTCCAAGTGGCGCAGCTCGCATGGCGCCACCGCCCCATTTTGGCACACCCCTCACACGTTTCGTGGCCCCTCAGGGAGCTCCACCTGAGGTCCAAGTGGCGCAGCTCGCATGGCGCCACCGCCCCTTTTTGGCACACCCCTCACACGTTTCGTGGCCCCTCAGGGAGTTGCACCTAAGGTCCCAGTGGTGCAGTTCGCATGGCACCCCTTCACACGTTTCGTGGCCCCACAGGGAGCTCCATCTCAGGACCTGCGCGCGTCGCTGGGACCCCTCCGCGGCGACCTGCGCGCGTCGCGGGGACTCCGCGCTGCTCTGCGCCCGCAGCTTTGGATTTTTGGAGCGCGCAGGCAAAGAGGGGGGAAAAGAAGGGGCGGAAGCGGGTGCGATCCCCGTGAGGGGCGTGCCGACATGGGCGTCGCGGCGCGCGGGCGCTGCCGTCGGGGTTCCCGCGGAAGCTGCCTGCGGCGGCCACGCCCAGTGTCACGAGTGTTCGGACAGGCGTGCTCGAGCCATTCACATTCATATACATTTACACTAGGCGTAGCCAAGATCGCATTCATGCAAATATACTCACTCCCACGCAGACCCATTCACACTCAGACTCTCTCGC